CCCCCCCCCCCCGCCCCCCCCCCCCCAGTGGGGGCTTGGTCGGACCGGGGCTGAGCCTGCCCTCCCAGGGTAGTCGCAGCCAAGGAAAGGGCTGCCTCAGCCCGAGCCGATTCTGGAACAAGTGACATTTTAGCAATATACACCCCGAGAGCCTCCCCCCCGAGTTCCTCTGGATGCCAGGTTTAGCCCCCAGCCGGAGTGCGCAGTCACAGGGCCCACTAAGGATAGCCTCTCCCCGGAAACCTACACACCTACGGCCTCTCACGCACCTGCGGCCGCTTCGAACATCTGCACAACCCTCGACGGCAGGCACACGGCTGCACACACGGCTGCACACACGGCAGACACGCTACAACACACGCAGACACACCACACCTGAATTTTTCTAACAGATACCTGCCCACACATCTGTACACACTAACACACGCACACACACGTGTGGGGGCTGGGCAGGACGACTTCCAACCCAGAAGCCCCCCTGAGGGCGTGCTGTGACCCTCTGGGAGGGGCTCGCCTCTCACACCCAGGACCCAGGGTCCAGTCTGCTGTCCACAGCTCTGGTTCCTGAGCCTTTCTCCAATGCTCCCGAACAGAACACCCTCCAGGGTGACCTGATCCTGCTTCCTCAGGGAGGGGGCTGGGCCCTTTCCCTGCGGGCATCTCGGTTACCCACCCAGGCTCACAGTCTGGGGTGACTGGTCTTCGGCTGTCATGAGTGGGATCTGCTCCCTGGTGACCTCTGACTCCACCGTCCTGGAACCTCCACTCTCAGAGGCTAAATTGGAGCAGAACAAACCTGGCAGAGACGGGAGGGGCTGGACTTCCCGGGAAGGGTGCGGGCTCTTCAGTCAGGGGCAAGTGCAGACATTTCCTTATTCCGAGCCCAGGAAGAAATCCCAGGAAATTCATACATCGACCTCCCACCCCAAAGCGGGCCAGGCCTCGTGGTCGGAGCGGGGCCTCCATCAGAAGTCATGTGATGTCCGCTGCCAATCACTGCCCCATGCCTCAGAGCCACCCTGGGCCCCAGTGAGGCAAAAACTCTTTCAGTGTAATGGACGCCTGATGTCCAAACCCTGAGTTACCATGTGAGGCCCATCATCCCTCTTCTCAGAGCACTCTGGGCTCTGGGCCTCGGGTGTACTCACACAAGCTGCACCAGGCAGAGTGGCCCTTGGGGCTGAAACAGCCTGCCCTGGGGCAGTGTCCCCCAGAGGCAGCTTTGTCCTGCTTTGCACCAAGATGCCGTGGCCTTCTTGGCTTCCCGGAAAGCACCTCCACCTTGTAGGCCACTCTGCCCTGGTCCCAACCCCACTCACCCATCAGGTGGTGCCCCTCCACGGCGGGGTCAGCCTCAGGCATGGAGCAGATCTTGGCAAAAACAGGGAGCTGCTTCTTCTGAGCAGGAAGGTCGGGGAGCTTGTCGGAGGCTGCGGGAGGAGGTAGGGGTGGCAGCAGCAGGAACGGGCCCAGTCCTGTGGGGTCCCCAGGCCCAGGGCCGCTGAACATGCTGTTCTGCAGGAAGTCCTTGATGGCCCTCGTCTCCTCCAGCACCGTCTTGTTGTCGGGCGTCTTAGACGTCTCAGCGGCCTTCAGTGAGAACTGGGCCAGGAGCTGGCTGATCTCTGAGTTGGAGGCGCCCAGGCTGTGGCCCCCGTCCTCCATGCCCTTGGCGCTCTTGACCTTGGCGGCCCGCAAGATGCCTGTGACTGTAGACACAGCAGAATCGCAGTCCTGCCGGCTGCCAGTGATGGACACAGCCACCTTCTGCTCCGGAAGCTTGTCGCTGGCAGTGACGGAGGCTCCTGGGTGCTCACCACTGTGTGTCCCCAGAGGTGGGGCGACCATACAGGGAGCTGGCTCTCTGGGTGCCTCCAGCTCTCCCGAGCTCTCTCTGACCACAACGAGGTGCTCCTTGGTGAGACTTAGGAACTCCTGCTCCACCAACAGGGAGATCTCATCTTTGCCACCACCAGGCTCTGGAGCTCTGCCAACAGGTTGGAGACGTGGTCAGTGTTAGTGCCAACTTGCTGGGGCGCTCTGCAGCAGGACCCAGGCCCTGGGGCAGGGGTGGGAGCATGGCATGCCAGCAAGTTTCCAGGTAATAAAAACCTCAAGAAAGAAAAGGGCACGTGGCAGATACCCACAAGGGATCCATCCCACGCAGCAGGTCGTAGGGCTGACCATGGCCTGGGAATGAGGATACCCGAGTCCTCTCCCAGCACATCTGCAGGGCGAGTCCCAACCTTACTGAGCCTCGACCTCAGTCCCTCCCTCCCTGTTCAGCCGTGCCCAGGACGTGAAGCAGTAAATGACCAGAGAGGTAGTTCACGGAGGAATTCTACCCAGCAACAAAAGGGTCAGCAGCAAAAGTGTGAGCGAACAGCTCTAGGAATGGAGCCCAGAGGGAAGGGGCTACCCTGGGAAGCCCCTGGAGTACACGACAGGCCCACCCCCACATTGCAGAGCAGCGGCATGGACAGTCCAGCTCACACCCGGACCTGTCACTTCCCAGCTGCGTGACCCCGGGGCAGGTCGTTCAGCATCTTGGAACCGTGGCTCCCTCGTTAGACTAGTAGGGTGTCTTAGAGGTCAAAGCACTTGGTCAGGGGCTGGCGCAGAGTGAGGGCGGGGGTCAGCCGTTCTGTCCACACTCCTGTCAGCCTGGAGCAGCCCAGGACCCCGGGCTCCACACGTAGCGCTGTGGATAACCCCGTGTCCTGGGGGTGCCCTCGGCCCCG